TGAATGTTGCCTTTTAAATGTTGTAAAAACTCATTTTTCTTGTAGTGCGATTTTTAATGGTTGATTGCTTTTAACATTGAACTGTCATCACTCAAAATTAATAGTTAGAAACAATATTAATCTTGTTTGTTATGATCGAAATATTAAGAATGAAATCAATCATATGTCAACATTTATTGTATTAGATGTAGTGTTGTGATTCCATAGATATTAATCTTTACATTGTTTTAATATTTGCGCACCATTAGGACAATAAATTGCTTATTCGTGGTGTTGAAAAACTCGTAATAGGTAGAATGTTGTCTATGAAACACATGGACAAAAATGTTATGAATAATATTTATGGCATGTGCGATCACGTGATATAATTCTAAATGTAAATGCATGTTTTTCATATGATTTCTAACTAGGAATAAGGTCGGGCCGTGTTAAACAGAGGTTTATTATATTTTGAAAAAGAATAGTAAATAAAACCGGATTATCGACTGTTACAAATGCATGAATTGCATCAATTAACACAAGTTGATAATTGGAATTAGAAATTGATTAGTCGAGTCGGATATCCAATATATTCACTCATATTTGATTTAAAAATCATATTTATTTGCTTTCATAGGATAAAATTAGCATAATTAAAAACACAATCAATCTCTTTTGTTAAAAAGATCGAATTTGATAATATCGAATATACTGGAATTAAACCATAGTCCCTGTAAGACGATGTTTTTCTTATCATATTATTACTTGTCAACGAATCCATACGCTTGCGAGATTTCATCTTGACATATTTCATTGAAAAATACATGTGTAATGTTCACGTTATGTTATGATTAGCAATATAAAACACTTGTTGATTTGCCTTTCCATTTATTGCATTTTAATTGTAAATGTTCAAAAATCTCACGGTGGTCTAAAAACTCAAATGAAGGCCAAAAATATCTTCTTGAGTCGAAAAACGGAACGATGCATAACTTATACGTATAAGAATTACATTTCAAAAGTAACAAACTTGTCAAATTATTTCAA